TTATCTACTTCTGCATATCTTTGTGCTTTGAAAATTTTCAAGGGAGGGGCAGACTGGAGACATGGAGATCAAGCTTTTTTTTTTTGGAAGGGGGCTGCCCCCTCCCACACCTCTAGGTATGCCACAGGTCAGGTCAGCTAATGCTTTGAAGCATCTGTTATGCTCAAATTGAAAATCATTCAATGTTCTATAACGATGCTAATTTATTACACTTACGTATTCATTCTGTTGATATAAGTCGTATACATATGTTTTCCTTGAACAGAAAATCATAATCAGTCTGTCTGCAATGGAGATATAACCTATGGTGTGACCATGATAATTAGCACACATGTCACATGTGAAGTGTCATGTCTGATTCCATATGACCAATGAAAAGTCACAACATAATAATTTTAAAAGGCATGTTGTATAACCATGTATGCTACAGTTTGGAGCAACTCTCTGAAACAATCAAATTAATGCAAAAAATGCATAACGAAAGGATATAATTATATTTATTGGATTGTTACAATTAACCAGGGTGATTTCATAGTGAACTGAATGAAAAACCACCTAGCAAAAAAAGAAGTCCTTTAATTTTAGTTATTATATTTCATTTATGGTATATCATATTTAATAATTATAGTACTATTTATAATATTATTTATACACACAGATCACCTTATACAGGCATTGCTGCTAGGCCGCTACTATAATACTTAGCACAGGCATTCGTTCAAAGCATAAACCTGCTGAAAGTCTCATCATTGGTTAGAATACTCTAAAGGCTTTGCCTAGCATTTCAAATAGTTCAAAACACACCCTGGAAATTTCTTTTCAAGAAATTCATCGACATTCTTCATCAATGTACCAAATGATCATCACTCTGCAGCCCTCAAAGTCGATCAGTACTTTAAGGAGGGTCTCAGTTCAAAACAGCAATAAACTTTTATGACATATATAATGTATATATCGGGTATATTTTTTTTTCTCTATTTTAAAGTTTTATTTATTTGAACGTTCACTGATATTATTGTGTTTATTTTTATTATTAATAAGAGCACGTTTTGTATAAATATTTAATATAAAAATAACGCTAAAAAGAAAAGATCGACGTTTCGACTCCTTCTTGGTGTTATTTAGGTTATTTGTGAGTACAATTGTTTACTGGAATTAACTACAAAATAATGTTAATTGTTTGTTAACCATTCCCAGAACTATACATTTAGGGCATGATTTACTGATAGCAAGCTATACGTTCAATGATTACTGTGAACAAAAAAATGTTTTTAGTCCAACATACATGAAATGTCATCAAATACACAATTAACAAATACTAATGTTATTTTGGCGAGTTTGATCTTGAAAATGACACCATGAAGGAGTTGAAACGTTGATCTTTTCTTTTTAGCGTTATTTTTAAATTAAATATTTTTATTATTCAATTTGTATTTTGTGACATTGTTATTAGGCCTATTTCTTCTTATTATTATTACTACTACTGTACTGTTTCATTATTGTTATTTTTAATTAATGTTATTATATCATCATTTTGTCTCTATTGAATCGATGCTGGCGCTGTTCAAGATGGACGTGCGACAGGTTGCTTTGTGCCTATTCTTGTTTTCACAGTGTTTTTCGTGTTGTATAGCTACTGTTTATAGCAAGGAAAGTTTATTAAATATTAGAACATCGTCATTTATTGACATTCCAATTGATTTACTATGTAAGTTGGTCAGATTGCAAATTAATAGGATTAGGCCTATTGCGGCTGTAGGTCAAGATCACAGACCGCTAGTAACGACGCCGAGAAGGCGGGGCCAACGTGGTGGAAAAAAACATAAGCCGCCATTGTCATACCCTAAATTGCATTGCCTTCTGCAGAACCTGCGTAGCATCCGAAATAAATTTAATGACATTGAGTCTATTTTGTCATCTGGAAAAAAGTCTGATATCCTCATAGACGTGGCTGAATATGTTTGATGATGATTCACATTATCAACTTGCTGGCTACAATGTTATGCGTTCTGATAGGGACTATTCTTGAGGCGGTGGATTGTTGATTTACAGTAAGGAGAATATTCTATGTTCAATGTCCGATTTTTATTGTGATGTACGGTAACTGTCGAGTTTTATGATGATTACACTAATTGTTCTTAACGTGTATCGGCCACCTGGATCAGATATTCAATCATGTTACGATAGATTGCAGGAATGCATCCTTGGTCTACAGTACAACTACAATACAAAACTGATCATCTGTGGCGATTTGAATGATTCTGATTCAGAATATCCACCTATGAAAGTGTCAACGGTT